CAAACAAAAAACACGGAGGCTTTGAGAATTTTAGGAACTTGCCCAAAGGCATATGACAGATGGTAGAACTGATAATGGGCCCTACTCCTCTTTTCTTCCTTTATTTTTGTAAACTGCCCAATGCAAACCAGGAAAAAACAAATGACACAGAAATAGCATCATTAAACTGTAGTGGGATGAGGTAAGGGGGTGTGGATGATAAATATGAAAATATCAAAGAACTGTAAAGATATGGAATATTGACTTAATCATTGGATTGTTTCTAAATTTAACAAGACTACCAAACATAAACCACTCCATAACTGATTAATTCTAATCAGTTATAAAGAAGTGCTCTGTTACAAATTTAATTAATGCCTGGAAATAATATTGGCATACTCTTATAATCAATAAAACACATTTGACAGAATCTTAAAAAATCCAAATGCAATAAAACACATTCATTCTTTTTTCATACTTATCAGGAGGGGCCTCTGATTTGACTTTAGCCAATCTCAACAGTAAAGTAGAAAAGATTAAATAATTCTAAGCAGAGGCATCATTGGCTTGTATTTTTCATCCCTGGACTATCCGAAACACTCCTGCCAAGTTTTAAACTCCAGCTTCTAATCCACCACCACTGGCATTAACAAATTTCACACTAGCAACCTAAGAGGAAAGGGGACTGGAAGGATGGAGTAAAAATGCACAGTTGCTGGCTTCGCTCATTTGATTTCTTGTTTTTCTCAGTTTGAATGCACAAAAATAATAATCATTGCATGATAAATGAAGAACAAATTGAAGTATGACCCCAGCTTGTGAAAATCTTTGGTTCAGAAAACTTGGAACATGACACATCCAGCTTTACAAATTGTTGCATCCAAAATATAGTTATTCTGGAAACCAGTTTCCACTAATCAGGCAATTTTGTAAAATTGTCTTCTGTATATTTGTAACTTTTACAATTTTTAAACTAATATTTAGAATTTTAAAACTTAAGGACAAATTGTATTAAACAATTTTTAATTCTCTGTTTATTTAAAAATATCTATTCCATTTCACCTAAATTGCCTAGGTCAGGGGAAAACTATTGAGATAATAGAATTGGCAAAAGTGTTTTCCCATTCCTATAATCTCAATATGGAAATTTGATATTGCCTAGGACAGAACATCAGCTTGAGTTATGTTTTTGGATTAGCCTACCAACAATATAGTTGGGAAGTTTTCTAGTTTCTCTGATTTCATTAGGACTGGGAAATTTTTACCCACATGTTATTTTAATAGAAAGAATTCCAAGATGAAGGAAGCTCAACCGTATTGATTTATAAATTATGAAAAACCAAACACCTTTTTGAGTCCAAAACTGTCAAATATGCTGGTATGATACAAGCATTTTTTCTGTGTGACACAAAACAGTGATCAAATATCAAGTTGGCTTTGGTTCATTTATGAAAATTTCTCTCATAAGTTTTCTTTTGGGTAAATGTTTTGTTATTGTTATCCTTATTTTTTACATATTTTAAATTTTTAAAAGTACAGCATTCCACTTCTCGCCACTGTACATCTACTTCACTACCCACAATCCTTATTTAATCCCTGAACTCTTAAGTTAGAACCAAAATAAAAAAATTAGTCTGAAAAAGAAACGTTTTTAACAAAAAAATTGTTGGGGAAGGGGTTAATCCCTGAACTCTTAAGTTAAGTAGGACCCTTAACAATGTGGCAAGCTCAGTCAGTTGGTCATTTGAAAGGAATACAGTTTATCTCATTTTGATATTCTGAATCAGTGCATCATATAAATGCATTCTGAATAATGCATGTCTCCTACTTTAATTACTTGTTTAATTACTTGTTTCAAAGCCTAGAGCAACTGCTGTTGCTTCCATGGTTAGAAAATTGCTTCCAGTTGCAGAAATATATTTCCTGTTGTTTCTTCCGGCAGTGATTGCAGACCGACCGCCCCCAGTCATTCGACAAGGTCCTGTGAATCAGACAGTAGCAGTGGATGGTACCTTAGTGCTCAGCTGTGTGGCCACAGGCAGTCCAGTGCCCACAATTCTGTGGAGAAAGGATGGGGTTCTTGTTTCAACCCAAGATTCTCGAATTAAACAGCTCGAGACTGGAGTTCTGCAGATCCGATATGCGAAGGTAACTTGAAATGACACCCTGGGTTTCCCATTTTGTTTCACTTTGTCTTTGCCTCCAGCAACTAGTGTTGAAGTCTCAAGTTTTAGAGTTAATGAAATGCCAAATAACAGTATTAATATTCTTTAAATTAGATGCTTTATTCTTTCAGACATTCCACTGTGTGTATTTAAGATGATTGGACTCATAATTTAGCCCATGGCAAGTAATTTAAGGTTTTAGAGGAGGAGAAAAAAATATTTTTGAGACCTATTGAGGAAAATAGATGAGAATTTGTGGGAGAAAAATACTCTCTAAGTCATGGTATGAAGCAGTCATTCATTCCATAAAGCATTTTTTAAAAAATATATTTTATTGATTTTTTTTATAGAGAGGAAGGGAGAGGGATAGAGTTAGAAACATCGATGGGAGAGAAACATCAATCAGCTGCCTCCTGCACACCTCCTATGGGGATGTGCCTGCAACAAAGGTACATGCCCTTGGCCGGAATCAAACCTGAAACCTTTCAGTCCGCAGGCCGTCGCTCTATCCACTGAGCCAAACCGGCTAGGACATAAAGCATTTTTTCAAAGATACTTTCCAGTACCATTTTACATGCAACGTACTTGAACAGTTCTCCTGTTGTGAGTATTTGGTTCAGCATTTTGCAATTACAGAATGCTATATATGCAAACAGAAACAATAAAGCAATGTGTACATTTAAATCAGAATGCTAAATGGTGAAAAGCCCACAGGTTTGTGGGAACAATTTAAGGATTTACTTTCCCAGGGCATTACATCCATACCTGTTCTTTCAGGGCTGTGTTGTTTGATTTTTCTTTTAGGTCAAGTTCAGACAAGCTCATGAGGCATATAAAAGATTAGCCTAGTCAGCAATAAACATAAACTTCAATTGCTTTATTGCCTACTGTGGGTGGCTTCTTTGGAGTTTTAGACCTGCATTAACAGTTCATTTTATGTGCTCCAAAAGTGAATATGTTGTACTTCTTTGTGAAAAATACTGTGACTTTGTTATTGTAATCGCCAAAGCAAGATGACAAAATTCTTGCTTTATCAAACATCACCTGAAGATAAGGTAATTACAATAAGCAGAGGCATGTGTGTGCATCATGCTGTTGAGAAATTTAAGGTCGAACATGTGAGCTGTATTCCAGCATTCAGTCTTCAGAAGGGAGAGAGAGTATTCATTCAGCTAGGGTTTGGCTTCACACTTATTAAACTGCCTTAAATTATAGGTTTTTAAAATGTGGGAAAGGAGTAAATAAGAACAACTCATTTTATACCCTTCCTTTTTTCATAAATATCTGTTTATCTTAGGTATCAATATAATTGTAACTCTGATAAAATATGAAATAATAATAATTGACTAAACTTCATCAGCCTCATTATGTGACTTACTAAATATCTATACTAATAAAAGGGTAATATGGTAATTGACTAAACTTCATCAGCCTCACTAATAAAAGGGTAATATGCTAATTAGACCAGACATCTTCCAGACGTCCTCCGGACAAAGCCATGGTGGCGAGTGCTGAGGCAGACGCAGTTAAGGGCAATCAGGCTGGCAGGGGAGAGCAGTTAAGGGGTGATCAGGCCGGCAGGGGAAGGCAGCTAGGGGCGATCAAGCCAGCAGGCAGAGGCAGTTAGAGGTGATCAGGCAGGCAGGCATGTGGGCGGTTAGGAGCCAGTGGTCCCGGATTGCAAGAGGGATGTCCGACTGCCAGTTTAGGCCCAATCCCACAGGGTCCAGTCCTAAACCAGCACTTGGAAATACCCCGAGGTGTCCCGAATTGGAGAGGATGCAGCCCAGGCTGAGGGACTGCCCCCCCCCCCACTAAATATCTATACTAATCAAATGGTAATATGCTAATTAGACCAGACATCTTCCAGACGTCCTCCGGACAAAGCCATGGTGGCGAGTGCTGAGGCAGACGCAGTTAAGGGCAATCAGGCTGGCAGGGGAGAGCAGTTAAGGGGTGATCAGGCCGGCAGGGGAAGGCAGCTAGGGGCGATCAAGCCAGCAGGCAGAGGCAGTTAGAGGTGATCAGGCAGGCAGGCATGTGGGCGGTTAGGAGCCAGTGGTCCCGGATTGCAAGAGGGATGTCCCCGATTGGAGAGGGTGCAGGCCAGGCTGAGGGGACTGTCCCCCTCCCCCCCACACAAATTTCCTGCATCACTGAGGGGTCCCAGACTGCAAGAGGGCACCGGCTGGGCTGAGGGACACCCCCTCACCCGCGAGTACACAAATTTTTGTATGCACCGAGTCTAGTCTATAATAATAAAGGCATAATATGGTAATTAGACCAGATGTCCTTCTGGATGTCCTTCCAGACTTTCTGGATGAAGCCAGGGCTGTGAGGGAAGCCCGGATGCCGGGTGCCAGAGGGAAGCCGGTGCCAGCAGCCAGGGGAAGGAAGGCCTGCTCTTGCACAAATTTCATGATAGGGCCTCTAGTAAAGATATGATTTAGTAATCAAGATTAACCCTTTGAATTATTTATTGTCACTGTAAAAAATATTAACTTAATTACTTTTTATTATATAACCAGAATAACTATATAAAATATATTATGTCTGCAATATTTTCCTTCACAGTCAATAAAAATATAATCAATTAAGAGGTAGTTTTTGGTTAGTGAATTTTAATGCAGTGATCCATATTCATGGGCCATATACAAACCCTATAATTGCTTTTCCAGCCCACTGAGCTCTAGATTGTTCCAAATATGTATTTTCATCTGTCTTCTCAGCTGGGTGACACTGGTCGGTACACCTGCATCGCAACCACCCCCAGTGGTGAAGCAACATGGAGTGCTTACATTGAAGTCCAAGGTAAATTAGATACTATTTTACCTTAAAATAAAGCTTCAGATGCAGTTCTTTACTAATTGGTAAATAGATAAAGTAGATGTCCTGAAGCCTGGGTGGGTGGATAGGTTATCTACATTTGTTTATGTACTTATCTGTACATGTGCAAACATCTTTTGTCTTTTTCCGCTCTGTTAGAATTTGGAGTTCCAGTTCAGCCTCCAAGACCCACTGACCCAAATTTAATCCCTAGTGCCCCCTCCAAACCTGAAGTTATAGATGTCAGCAGAAATACAGTAACATTGTCATGGCAACCAAACTTGAATTCAGGTGCAACTCCAACATCTTATATTCTAGAAGCCTTCAGGTAGAGTGAAATATGATGTTTCTTGGTTGTTCTTTCTTGTGAGTTACCAGTAAAGATGTAAATTCTAACTCATGTCTCTCTCCTTAGCCATGCATCTGGTAGCAGTTGGCAGACTGTAGCAGAGAATGTGAAAACAGAAACATTTCCAATTAAAGGACTCAAACCTAATGCAATTTACCTTTTCCTTGTGAGGGCAGCTAATGCATATGGAATTAGTGATCCAAGCCAGATATCAGATCCAGTGAAAACACAAGGTACGTGTTGATTTACTCAACCTGTGACACCTACTTTTCTTTAGATGTTATGATAATACAGGTACATCATTTGTACTACATGCTAGGACTGGGTATTTAACATCGTTCTGTTGTCCATGTTGCTCAATTAACTTTTAACATACAAACACAGTACCTGCAAACTATTATTTTTCTGGACAAAGCACTTCAAAATAAAATTAATAACAGAAATGTTCCTGATCTTATAAATTACAAATCTAATGAGACAAAAATATTATATTCAATTCACAAAATTGAGTAAAAATGTTATATGTGAATATAAAATATTAATCTTATAATACGTATTTAAAATTGAGTAAATTTTACAAGTGATCCTTTCTGCAAATGATACAAATTTAAGAGATATTTGAAAAATAAGCTTAACTGATTTTTTGTTTGTTTGTATTTCCCTTTATTTTTTTTCATCACCATTTATCCCCTCTATGCCTCCTTCTACTTCCACCCCCACCAACACCCCCAACCACCACACTGCTGTCCATGTCCATGAAGTTTTTCTTTTTTAAAAAAATTTTTGCTCAATCCCTTTACAGCCCCCCTGAAAGTTGTCTGCCTTCTCTCTATGATTCTGCCTCTATTTTCCTTGTCAGTTCAGTTTGTTCATCAGATTCCAAATATGAGTAAAGTCATATGGTACTTGTCTTTCTCTGACTGGCTTATTTCACTTAGCATAATGTTCTCAGGTCCATCCATGCAGTCACAAATGGTAAAATTTTCTTCCTCTTTATGGTCAAGTAGTATTCCATTGTGTAACTACTACAGCTTTCTGGACACACTGTTGTTTATTGTCTCCTATGAATAGAAATTATTTTTAGTTTTCAATGGTCACATTATCTCCTAGTCCCCTTCTTGCTCACCTTATTATTTTAATACTTTAATAAGAGTAAATTTATGTATTAATAAAAGAGATGAATGTAAATCATCCTGTACCTTTTTTGGAACATGCTATCATTGCAATTAAAATATGGTTGCTCTTATATTAACAAAGAAGGATACTTTTAGATTATAGTGACTAGAAATGCAAAATTCTTTTATCAACATTCAGAGGAATCATAATGCCTCTATAACTTATTTATAGTGATAGAAACAAGCGGTGCACAAAATTACTGCAACAGTTCAACTGCTTGTTTTCCTGGTTTGGGCGAGGGTCTGCCAGCATGCTGCATGTTTGCTCCTCTCCACTGAGTATGTAAACTGTCTTTTTGGAAGGACTTTTTGTTTCAGAATTCACAGTGAAAGCAGACCAAGTTATAGAACATGCCCACGTCTGCCTCTTGCTGTGTGAATTCAACACAACCAGATGCCTATATTTGCTATCATGAGTCACCTCAACAAGAGCTTTCATATTCTCAGAGCTGCCTAAAGGCATTGTGAGGTTTTCAGTGTTAGACGTGCAGTTGTAAAGCGTGTAGAAACTATGCAGCTGTGCAGTGAGCTCCTAGATCTGACCCCAGTACAGTGGTCTCTACCTAACAAACCCAAGTGGAGTTTTGGCTGACAATGCGTATGAATAATTGTGTAATACATTATCTTTATTTTTAAGTGAGTACATAGTTAACATTTATCTTAATATGTTTTTTTAAATGTTAACATACCTTTGTACATGAATAGCTATGTCAAGAGGTGGACTAGACATATAGCAAAACAGGCATCTAATTTTGAAATCAAAGAACTTTTAGTCTCAGCTTTTTAACCTACCAGCTACATGGCCCTGTGCAAGTTAGTCCTGACCTTCAGTCTCCTCTCCTATATAATGAGGCTAAAAATACCTACGCCACAGGATTGAACAAGGATTAAATCCACGAATCAATGTATGATTATACAAAACTCAGACTTTTATTTTATTTTGCCATTAGACTTTGTAATTGGATTTGTATTTCTTTCACTGTATGGACTAAAAAGAAAATAAGTTCATAAAATATACAAATATGAAAATGAGAAAGGTAGCTAATGTGTTGAATTAGAGAATCAGAGTTAAATATATGTTGGCAGACTTAAATGATGGGCCAGCACTAACAAGATGGAAATCAGTGGAGCAAATTTAAAAGTCTGGTGCTTGACTTTAGATTTTAAAAATTAGCTGTGGAAGGACAGGCTGAGGACTTGGAACTTAAAGGGAGTTCTTGTGAGTATGTGAGAGGGTGGCAGGGGACAGGCCAACTTCAGTGTTTGAAGTCAATTAAAACACCTATCTGAGCCAACTGAGTGATGTAGTCGCCAAATGAGTAAATGTCGTCTTAGCTGGCATTAGCAGAATTATGTCTGGATCAAGTAATCTCCCCTTTCAGCCTGAGCAGGTCAGATCACGAATGGAGTAAGTGTTCCTTTCTGAGCGCCACATTTTCAGGTAGACCTAAGAGGAGGACAGAGGATTGTTGGTGAGTCTGCATGAAGGGTAAAAATCACATATTTGAAAAGAAACCCAAGCATGCTGGATTAACCCTCAAGATGATAAAGTTAGAGAAGGCATGATGTTTTTTTTCATTACATTTAAAAAGATTATTATGTGAAAAAGATATACTTATTCTAACTTCAGACAACAAAACAGGACCAATGAGTTGGGAGTAAAATTGGGAAAGATTTCATTGTGTAAATCTCAGACTGCTTTTGAGATACAATGAAGCCCAGCTGAGGGCCACACTAATATTTTCTATAGCAGGAATCTGGGGAAAAACAAGGAAAACTATAACTGGGGGTGCAGAACATGTAAGCAGGAAGGTAAGAGCCAAGGTTACAGTGAATTCAGAAAAGACGTTGAAAATCGATTCATAGGAGCAAACATAATTTCTGTAACCATTTCTGCAAAAATGTTATTCCCATGAATGAGCTGGGTCAAAAGTAAGAGCTGCAAAAATAGGGGGCACGCTTTCCAGTTAGGAGTCAGGTAGACCTTTGTCAGAGTTGGAGTTACAGCCACACCACAGGATAACCAAAATGTCTTCCCAAAGACAAAATTTGATAATGCAAGGAAGATGAGATGAGTAGCTGGCAAGTAGGAGTGGTGGTGGTCATTGTCCCGGTGAAGATAGTTGTTGCCACTGTTTCTGCTATTCTTCATCTGCACATCCTGTCCACACAGTATTTGTGACCCTTATTTTGTAAGGAGTATGTACACAAACACCAAATGTGCAGATGGGTAAGGTAGAGATGATAAGAGACCTTAACTACACATGACGAAGTGGGCCTGAGTACTCTCCCCTCAGAGAGTGTGTATGTTCCCATTTGGGGGAAGGAGTTGAATAGAATCACATTGGAGATTTCCTCCAACTGTAATTCTGAATATTGGGAAGGACCATTTACAATATATTTCTTCCAGGTGGCAGAGGAGAACAAGAACAATAAAGGACCAATTTGTGAACTTCTCAATATTACCTTATTAGGGAATATTTTCCACTTTTTTCTCTATTAGGAAATTTTCTAAAATAATATTCTAAACTGCTGTTGTCAAAATGGTTACACTAGGCCAAGGAATTTAGTTATTTCCAAGAAGGTATTAATTGGCAAGTTTATCTCAAACTAGAAAATTGAAGATTGCAATTAAATCACAGTATTTAAACCCTTTAAAAAGGGTTTATGTACCTGTTTAAAGAAACTTCCTAAAAGGCAGAAGGATTCCTGAGGATGGAGCTTACATATGGGAGAATATGTTCAGATGCTGAAATAATGTGTGTCTTTCCCATACACTAAATCATTTCAACTCAACCAATGTTTAATGAGCACACTCTGTATGTAGAGATCCCTGCCCTCAAAGAAAGGCCTTTCCATGCCTTACCAAATGCAGTCCTCAGAAGCGGCTCATCAACATCACCTTAACGTGTGAAGAAGATGCGTGAAGTCCAAAAATCTTCGCAGTGGTAGATAGCTGTAAAGTTGTTGAGTTGGGATGCAAGCCCAAGTCTATTTTACTCCAAGTAATTTAGTCTTACCCTGGAGATCGGAGAGAGCCGACATTACAGGAGCAAATGAGACAGTAGAGAATGAAATATGCCTGAGATGGAAAGCTACAACCAAGTGTTTTCTGTCTATAGGCTGTGATCGTAGGTAGCCTGAGGACCAGTATGAGCCAAAGGTATTCTAAGGTAGGATAAAGTATGAAAAACAAAAATCACCTCAGTTATTTTTCTAAATTTATAGTCCCAGTAAATTTGCTGCTATGAACATAGGGCACATATATTATTTCTGATTGCTGTTTCGGGCCTCTTAAGATACATTCCTTGAAGTGGAATCACGGAGTCAAACGGGAGTTCCATTTTTTAATTTTTTGAGGAAACTCCGTACTGTTTTCCATGGTGGGAAGGACCATTTATTCAGGGTATTATTTATCAGAGTATTGGACAGCGCTTGGTCAGTCTTCTCTCCCATCTGCCTGTCTTCCCTGGACTCCATCGAAGATACTCACCAGCCTTGTTTTCCATTCATGTTTTTGCCATCTGTACAGTAAGCTCTTTGAAAGTATTTAATCTTTCAGAAAACTAAAATGCTTGTGTCCGTTGTTCATGGATGGCAGATAATCTAGAATATATGTGCCACATACAGTATTCTCTGGAGAATTCTGAATGCAAAGCACAATTTTATTTTCTCCTCTTTTCACCAGTGTTCTCTTCAGCTATTATAAACTACGCAAAACCTCTATATTTAGAACATCTCTATAGAAATGGCTATTTTTATTTAATAGTAACTTTATTAAATTTAACAAAATCTTTCCTTCAAGCCATTTTGCTCAATTAATATTTGACAAAGGAGGCAAGAGCATGCAATGGAGTCAAGACAGTCTCTTCAATAAATGGTGCTGGGAAAATTGGACAGATAAATGCAAAAACA